TAAAGTTGTGCTAAAAAATGGCTGAATTTTGAATATGTTTTTCCTCTGTCATATTTGGATGTTTTGTAAAAAAATCATAATTTTTGGACTTTTTTTGCTAGGATAAATAATTATTTGTAATATTCTGCTGAACATTGTTTTAATTATGTAAAATCAGTTACTTGATGTAAATTGCTGAATTTTGGTATGCATACTCCTGCTATGTTGTATAATGAAGCATAAAAATTCCAGAGTTTATTATGTTCGTTATGATAGGTTATTAATTAAAATCAGGCTTCTGTTGAATCTTATCAGCATTTCTGTAAATTGTGTTTTTTATGTTTAGAACTGGAAATTTTATATGTTGATCCTCACATGCTGTAGTTTACTGTGTAAAAATTTCAAGTCTTAAATCATTCATTAGGTCAGGCTATAAATTTATGCCCTTTGTTGCTGAAAGCTTGTTTTAATTTTATAAAATCGAGTGTTTTGAGTTAAGGGCTGAAACTTGGTGAAAATATGTGATTTTATGTGCTCTATTATGTGTTAAATTTTTAGCTTAATATCCTGAGCCTAACTCTTAAACCATTAGAAGGTTCGTTTTGTTGCCTTTGTAGTCATTTTTCTGAACTGCTTGATTTCCTGTCAACCCGATAAATGTTTTGCATATTATATGTGATCTATTTGGGGTTAATTGTTATGTATTGAGTCTAGTGGTCAACTCCAAGTACTTAACCCTGTTAAGAAATCCACGAGTCACTTAGTCGATATGATTTCGACTAAGTATGTGTTGCTTTCTGTGTTGTTTTTGTGCTGGACAGTCTGTTGATAGGCCATCGAAATTGTTGTAGGTTCGCCGAGCTGAAATTTTGCCATAATTCCTTCAACTACCTATGTTTGGCTATATTCCGGTATCCAGGTGTGTTTACTTATAAAATTGTTATGCCATAATTGCGGTAAGGTTTCTATACTGCGTGTTCTATGAATGTAGTGAGTCATGAGACGGTGCTTAGTGGTAGGTGATCTCCAACCTTGTGATAGGTAGACTCATTTTATCCTAGTCGATAGGCTGTGACCGTTGATGTTGAACCTCGACATGACTGTACTCCCGCTGACGAGTTTGGGCTTACCCCTAGCGGCTTATGATAGGTGTGCACATAAGTATAGTGATGAGTAGGAGTGTGGTGTGTTATGTCTTTTAACCATGTACTTGCATATGACTCTAGTATAGATATCATATCAATATTATATGCATAGTGGTGAGCACCTCGGTTATTTTTGTGCTCACTCCCACCTGCTCTTCAAGGATGCAGGTTAAACACGTGATGGGCATGACGAGAGTAATGACGAGTGGATGGTCAACTTTATTATTGCTATTTATTGCTTTCGCATTCTTTGATATGTTAAGTTGAGATTATTAGACAACTGTTGAACCATGAGATGGTTATTTTCTCTATGCTTTTGGGATTGGTTGAAGTATTTGAACCATATGGGTTATTTATCAGTTTTGGATTTTGTTGACAATCGTATTAGACTCGATATGTTGAAATCTAGTCTTGGAACTTGAATTGTGTTGATTATTCTCGTTCCCTTTATGCTGATTATGTGTTGAATTGTGAAATGTTTTCGAGTAGCGCCAATGTTTTATAAATCGATATATGGTTTTCAAAATTTTAAAACGGGATTTTGGGATAAGTCTGGAATTGTCTTTGAAAATCTTTGGGGCGTTACAATTTGGTATCAGAGCCAGTCTGCATTTTTGTAGACTGGTCTATGTGTGAATTACATGTTTACGTGATTATGTGCATTGTAACCTTGTGTTTGACCACTCGTCTTCGTCATGCCACACTGCTTAAAGGTATGCCTATATAAGTATCGATGAAATACTTATAATGTGAATTGTGAATTTGTTCATAAGTGGCAATGAAACTACTTGTGATATATATGTTATTTTGGGGCTTAGGAAATCTATCCACCTTAGGTTATGTTCCGAGCCGTAGCGCAACTACAGGACGAGACCGATTCAGGTCAACCTTACCCTTTTAGCAGCCACCTTAGGTTATGTGAACTTTAGTGTTTAACGCTGAACTCTAGTGACATAGAGTTAAGTTCAGACTCTAAAGGTCTTGTGATTTTCAGTATGTTGTTGTCGAGTTAAGTTCTGTCCATAGAAGTTTTGTCGCTATATGATCCTGTTCAGTGTCTTCGAGTGAGGACCATTAGCAAGCTATCTTGAAAGAGAAGGCTTAAGTGAAGGGGACAGACGGCCGAAGAAGTCTCAGGTGTGTGGGTTATTTGGAAGTCTATAACCATAATTGATAGGACCCAGTCAATGAGAATCGAGAGGGAGGTCCAAGTGGTCGAGGCCCGTTTTGTTGCTTGTATTTTCCCCGACGAGAGGTGAACTTTGTAAATCCCCTCTTGTAAATTCGTGAACTTTAGAATCCTGTTTTGAGGAGGAACTTTGTGTTGATTACCTGATTTTGTGTTCAGCTATAAGAACTTTTGTGTGCTTAGTGTTTGAAGTTCAGAAAGCATGGGAATTGTTTCATGTGTCATATGGCCTCAGTTTATTATATTACTGAAGCTCTGCTATATGTAAGTTTATCATGCTTACAATGAAGTATATATGTGTTGTTATGTTTTTATGTGAGAGATTTCGTGATTTTATCGTTAGAGATTATATACGTGTCGATTATGTGATGTTCTATGTTGACGTCTTATCGAGTTCTTGATAAATCGTGAAAACTTCGCCTTATGATTTCGTGTTATTCATGCAGTAAACGATATTAAATGTTGTTATGATGATATGGAGTATTTAAGAATGATGTTTTTGGGATATCATATGGTAAAGAACTTATATGTCGATTTTCATGGCCTCTAATGTACTGCTGTAATGGCCCTGAAGTAGTCTTTTTATGAAGAGGTGATCTTCATATGAAATGTAGCTTATCCTGTTGTCTTTCATTGAGTTTTGGAATTTTAAAAATCCATTTTGAAACGAGAGAGTTATGATTTTTGCAAAATTATCGCACAAGCAGTTTTTTGTAAAACCCGACAGCATGTTAGATTGAATGATTGACCTGTTTATCATGTCTTAATGTGCTCAAATGAAAATGTGATCTTTATGGAAGTTATAGGTTTGTTTCTTAGCTTTTTGATGAGATAAAGTTCATACGTTATGTGGTCTATAGCATGAGTTAGAGTAAATTTTCTGAAGTGTTGTTTGTATCATGTTTTAGTTTCAGCAGTTTTTATGAATCGAGTATTTTGTGTTTAAACTATTTGATAATATCATTATTTGGCAATAGGGTCTTTAGCAAAGTTGTAAATAATTGTGTTGGATGCATTTTGGTTTTTGAATCTCATTAAAAGCTTATTTGTAGCCCGAGTTATGCCTAATCGAATGAGGATATGCATGTGACTGTTTTGAACTTTTTGCAAAAAACTAAATCTATATGTTAACTGCTTTTACCCTATCTTAATGACCTTATCTGCTCCTGTATACTAAACAAATGTATTAAGACTGCTTCTTAGCTTTATAATGATGCATTAATCATGTCCATATGTTATGTGTAGTATGAGTAATGTCCGTTCTTCTAAAGCTGTGCACCACATGTTTAGGTTTCTCGGACTGCAGCTAGGTTCATAATGTTAGTCAATATATGACCTGTTAAAATTTTGTTATTTGCTTATGAGTTCTTCATGAGAATAGTAGCCGCATGTCTTAGGATTTATATTCATCTGAAATCATGCTTATTTGACATATATATTACAAGTTATATCTGATTACAAAATGATGTACTGTGCCATTTCGGTAAACTTGTGTTATGTTTCCGAAAAATAAGTGTTATCTTTAATATGCATGTCTATGTGCCTTATATGAATTAATTTGATCGTTGTTATATCATTGTTGACTGGTAACACTTACGAGAGAAGCTTTACGCTAAAATCTCAAAGTGGCTATAGGCTGTATAGGTGGTTGAACTCGTTTAAGACTGGCAGCACGATTAGCTACCTGAGTAAAAGCTGTCGTGACGGCCGATATTGTTAGTCGGAAGAGTCAAACGAGCTAACCATTTTGTTGTTCGGCATTGACCGCCGAGTTAGGATTATTCCTGGAAGTGATGCCAATGTTCGATCCTTTGGGAAATTGTTGTTGTCAAACCTAAACTTTCGTGGTTTTAGAAGCCTTCTGGAGAAACCTTTTTCCTATTTGGATACCTAGGAATTGTGAGACTTGGAAATTAAAATTTCTGGAATGCACCTCAAACCGAGTGTCGAACCTGACTGGGTGTAGCCACGCGAAGTGGTGGCCGAGCTCGCGCACCAGTGCTGAGAGACGTGAGGCCAACTGCAGTGACCGACCGTTGACTCGCACGAAAGCTGCTGCCGCCATCACCGAAAGCACGAACTCCCCAGACCATGTGTATGGCCAAACCTTGACCTTGTGGCTGGTATCCGAGTGGGTACACGCACGCGTCCCAACGCCCCGCATATGCAGCGCCAGTATGTGTGTCATCTATGAGGTGACAGTGCATTAAACCCAGACCGACCTTGTCCTTTTAGGGGTCTTTGAATCAGATTTTTGGGTCAAAGTGTATGATGATCTTTCGAACTGTTGTGTGAATTCTCTACTCAACAACCCACGACGTGCGAGGCTTGTCAATTAGTTTCCTTTGCCATATGCGAGATTTTCTCAAGATGGCGAGATAGTAGTTTCTGTAGTAATGTGGGGCGGAGCCTTGAGTCTCGACTGGAGACTGACTCTGTGGAAGGAAATCGTTATCAAGTATCTAGTCATTACTTCTGAAATTGCATACGAGTTGTTATCCGTATCGGTAAGGATTGAAGCCTTGTCATCGGTATCAAACAAGAACCGTGTGTTCTGAATGTGCCAGATTTGGGAAAAGTGATGATTGTTTGTCCTATTATGATTCGTCGACCAAGTCGATAACTTAGCCTGATGAAACTATATCGAGCCCATCCATCTTCGATCCTGATATCTCATTCTTCTTAAGTTTTTATGTATCAAAATCATCCACCTTAATCATGATGGACAGTTGTCCTCGAACGCATACCCACCCTCAAAGGAGTGGTCATTACATGCGACCATCCAGCCTCTCGGCCTTAATCATGATGGATTTTTGTCTTCGAACACATGTCCACCCTCAACAGAGTGGTCGTTACATGCGCTATCCAGCCTCTTAGCCTTAATCATGATGGATTTTTGTCTTCGAACACATGCCCACCCTCAAAGAAGTGGTCGTTACATGCCACCATCCAGCCTCTCGACCTTAATCATGATGGATTTTTTTCTTCGAACACATGCCCACCCTCAAAGAAGTGGTCGTTACATGCGACCATCCAGCCTCTCAGCCTTAATTATGATGGATTTTTGTCTTCGAACACATGTCCACCCTCAAAGGAGTGGTCGTTACATGTGACAATCCAGCCTCTCGACCTTAATCATGATGTATCCTTGTCTTCGAACACATGCCCACCCTCAAAGGAGTGGTTGTTACATGCGACCATCCAGCCTCTCAGCCTTAATCATGATGGATTTTTCCAAGTAACCTGTCATCAAGGTTATTCCAAACGTTCCGACCGTAAAGTAATTCGATAAACAATAAGTTATGGAATTCAAACATGTCGTTTTATTATTTGTCGAATAAAGGGATTCATTACATCGGTTCTAGCAAAGTTTTCATAACAAAAAAGAAAAATTTAAGAATAATATTTCTTCAAGTTAGCCACATTCCATGGCCTGGCCAGTGATCTTCCCTCAGCATCCTTCAAAGAATAAGCTCCTCCAGCATGGACCTTCTCGATGAGGTATGGTCCTTCCCAATTCGGTTCTAGCTTCCCGACATGCTTCAATACAACTATCCTTTATCAGACCAGGTCGCCTCTTCGTACTCTCATCTTCCTGTCGTGGGCGGCTCGTATCGTATGCTTGTAAGCTTCGACTCTGATCGAAGCCTTCTCTCGAAGCTCCTCAATCGTGTCCAGGACTGCCATTATCAAGTGTTCATTCTATTCTCGATCATATGTGCTTGATCTTTGTGACTGGACCTCGACTTCGACCGGCAACAAAGCCTCCATTCCATACCAGGCTGAAAGGCGTTTCCCCAGTGGTCGACCTAGGTGTTGTCCTGTATGCCCACAGTACTGAAGTGAGTTCATCGACCCACGCCCCTGATGCCTTCTCCAGCCTTATTTTGAGACCATTCAATATGATCATGTTGGTCACCTTGAATTGTTCATTGACTTGAGGATGAGCGACTGATGCGAAATGTTGTTCGATCTTCATGTCCTTGCACCATGCTCGAATCTGTTGGCCATTGAACTGTGTTCCATTGTCAGACACCAACATCTTAGGAACTCCAAACCTGCAACAAATATTGTTATATTAAAAGTGTATCACTTTCTCCTCCGTGATTTTTGCCAAGGGTTCGGCCTCCACCTACTTTGTAAAGTAATCGACTACTACAATCAAGAACCCCACCAGATCGATACTTCATTGCGCAAACAGGATAGGAGCGCTCATAGTCGTCATCGCTTCGGCCGGTTGATGGATAAGTGGGCCATGTTACTGGCATTGCAAACATCTTTTCACCATCTCCCTCGTATCCTCCTTCATAGTAGGCCAAAAATATCCTGCCCTCAAGACTTTTGCCACCAGCGAGCCCGCTTTGATATGATCACTGCAGCACTCTTCATTAGTCTCTCAGAACATATCGCCCTTCCTCCTTGGTCACACACCGCAAATGTGGTCCCGCATGCGATCTTTTATACCAAATCATAGCATGCTCGAAGAATCTCCTTATCACCTTGGCCTCTCCTTCCTTCAACTCCTTTATTATCGGTGCCTTCCAGTCCTCTACCTCCTCTATCTCCACTACCTCCTTCTCGACCACACTTTTCTCTATGTGTAGTAGAGTCACACATATGCTCCTGCAATCGACCAGACTCTGGGCTGTTTTGGATAACAAGTCAGCTCGAACATTCTCCCCACGCGGTATCTTTACCAGCTCGAAAGAGTCGAACTCTCCCTGCAATATTTTCATCTCCTCCACATACTTCAGCATCATATCCTCCTTAATCTCGAACCCTTCCTGAAACTGGCCCACCACCAGTTGCGAATTTGAATGCACCTGCACCTTTCGAGCTCCCCCGCCAAGGCCAACTAGAGCCCTTTAATTACCGCTTCATACTCCGCCTCATTATTCGATACTCGATACACCACCTTAACTGCAAACTCCAAGCTATCTCCCCTTGGCGAGGTTAACACAATACCCAAACTGCCTTCAATTTTCGACACCGACCCATCCACAAACATCTGCCATACTCCTTCACACTCTTCCTCTCCCTTGGTTCCCTCCTGAATAAAATCGGCCAGTGACTAGGCCTTGATCGTCTCCGTGGCTCATATGCTATTGCCCATTCTCTTAGCTCGACCGCCCATTTAACCAGTCGACCAGATACTGAGGGTCGACCCAATGTTTCTCCAGAGGCATATTCGTCCGGACTTTCACTTTATGGCTCAAGAAATATTGTCGTAGCTTTCTCAACGTCACTACCACTGCCAAATCACACTTCTCGATCTCCGAATACCTCCTTTGAGCGCCTTGCATCACCTTACTCACGCCCCAATAGATATGTATAATACCAATCCTCCTCGTACACTGGTTTGGCCAGCAAAGGCAAGTTGGCCAACAACTTCTACAACTCCTCGAACGACCTCTGGGCCTCTTCTGTCTATTGGAACTTCGAGCTCTTCCTCAATGTTTTGAATAATGGCCCACTCTTTTCTGCCACTTTCGAGATGAAGCGGCTTAGACCTACAATTCTTTCTGTCAAGACCCACACCTCCTTCACCTTCGTAGGGGGACTCATCTCGACCACCGCCCGCACCTTCTCCGGGTTCACCTCGATTCCTCTCTTTGTCACCATATAACCAAAGAACTTCCCCGACTTTACCCCAAATGAACATTTAGCGGGTTTCAACTTCATTCCATACCTTCATAGCATCATAAATGTTTCCTTCAAGTCATTCACATGATTGACCTCCTCCTTGCTCTTCACAAGCATATCATCAACATACACCTCTATATTTCTCCCCAACTGCTCCTTGAAAATTTTATCGACCAATCTCTGGTAAGTTGCCCCAGCATTCTTCAGCCCAAAAGGCATCACCACATAACAATAAGTCCCCTTGCTCGTCACAAAACTCACTCTTTTCCGATCCTCCCGCGCCAAAGGGATTTGGTGGTACCCTTATGACGCATCCATTAGGCTAAGCAACTCACACCCAACAGTGGAGTCGACCAACTAGTCGATCCTTGGCAGCGGATACAAATCCTTCGGGCATGCCTTGTTGAAATCCTGGAAATCTATGCACATCCTCCATTTACCCTCCGACTTTGAAACCATCACCATGTTCGACAGCCACTCCGAGAATTGGATCTCCTTGATATGTCCTGCCCTCAACAACTTCTCCACCTCTTGCTCAATTACCTTATCCATCTCCGCACCGTGATGTCTCCTTTTTTGCTTTACCGGCCTCATGGTGAGGTCGATATTCAGCCGGTGCTCGATCACTTCTGTCGTAATACCTGTCAATTCCTCCACCGTGTATGCGAAGATGTCCGCAAACTCTCAACCCAATCAATTTTGACCTCACAGGTTCCTCCAGCTCCTTCACGATTCTAAACTTCCTCTCCTCACTGCCTTCGACCATCTGAATCTCCTCGACCTCTCCTTCTGGCTGCATCTCCGCTTTTTCCTTACCCTTATCCAACGTCACCTTCTCCTTCTTAGACCTCGAGCTCCTGGGTCGACTTGGGGTTTCATCTCCCACCTTCGCCTACCTTTTCGCCAACTGCCTATTATTTCTCACTGTAGTTTGATAGCAGCTTTGAGATGTGAGCTGATCACATGCGACCTCACTAACATTTTCGTCCACAGGATACTTGATCGTCATGTGGTACGTTGATACGACCACCTGGAACCCGTTCAAGCTCGTCCTCCCCATGATAATACTATACGACGATTCAGCTCCGACCACCACAAATCTAACCATTCTAACTTTCCTCGTCGCCCCCTTTCCCAAGGCAACAGATAGACTCACTTCTCCCATCGACATAACCTCACCTCCATTAAAACTATATAATGTCGTGGCCACCGGCTTCAACTCCATGTTCAACTCCCGATTAATCTGTACAAAGCAATCATAAAACATAACATCGACCGAACTCCCTGTGTCGATAAACACCCGCTTTACCTCAAAACCGACCACCTCCGCCGTAATCACCAGAGCATCATTTTGGGGTAGCACCACCCCCTCCGCATCTTCTGCCAAAAAACTGATCTCCAAAACTCGAGCAGTAATGTCCACCTCCTCTCTCTTTCTTTTCATCGCTCGAACATGTCCTCTCTTAGCGTTGTTCAAGTCTCCATCCATCGGCCCTCCTGAAATCATGTATATTGTTCCTCTTTTCACCTGGCCCATATCCTCCTGCCTTCCCCTATCTCCATTTTCCCGCCTTCTTTTTTCTTCATCACCCCTTCGACCACCTCGACCATCATCCTCCTCATCATCCTCTTTATCCCTCCTCTCTACAGACTCTTCTCTGCACCTCCTTTTCTCCTTCCCTTTCACCTTATCGTGATAAACAAACTCCTTAAGGTGCTCTGCCCGAATAAAGCGCTCGATCTCATCCTTGAGGTGTCGCAATCCTTTGTGGTATGACCGTAATCCTTATGGAATCGACAATACCTCCTCGACTTAGGTGGAGTTAGCCCCTCAAACCTCGACCTGGCCATGTCACGTCTCTCCCATTGATTTCTTTCTCCATGGCCACCAACACCTCATCAACCTTTTCGTTTAACGGGGTATAGCCGTGAAACCTCTTTTCTCCAGTGATGGGTCGAACCTTCCACTTATCCTCACGCCCTCGATCCTGTATAGCTCGCCCTTCCCTCCTGGGCGATCCTCTCCTGGGCGACCTTCTCTTGGGCGAATTTGCCTTCTCTTTCTTCGGCTCTGGTCGAGCTAATTCCTCCAGTTTGGCAAACTCTACTTTCGTCTCCTCTAGGTTAATATACTTCCTACACCTCTTTAACACATCGTCATAAGTACGAGCCGGGGTTTTGGCTACGGAAGTCCGACATGGACCTGCTCGTAAAC